CGTCACGGACGGGGTGACATAGCGACCAAGAAGCTATAAAAGCACGTGCAGTGGAAACAGCAGCAGCTTCTGTCATTCGGCTAGTTCGGTCATTATCTGCCGGTCCGCCATTTCAGGGCACCGAACGGGCCACTCCTATTACACCGGAGGTCAGTCTCGAGAGACTGATTACCTTAGTGGATTTTCTGGCAGTGTGGAAACTTCTGCCGAATATCTCACGTTGGGTCCTGCAGAATGTAGAAAGAGGCTACAGAATTCAGTTCGGTTCTCCTCGTTTCAACGGGATTGTTCCCACCCTGGTGGGTCCCGAGCAGGCTCCGGTATTACAAAGTAAATACTCTCTTGAGGAATGAGGCCATCGAGGTGGGCCCTCCTCTCGACAGACCTGGTTCTACTTTATTGTTCCAAAGAAGGATGGAGGGTTGCGTCCCATTTTAGATCTGAGTCCGAGGACTGGTTTGTCTCAATCGATCTAAAAGTTGCATAATTCCATGTCTCCATCCCTCCTCAACACAGGAAGTTCCTGTGGTTTGCTTTCAGGCGCGAAGCTTACCAATATCAGGTTTTTCCGTTCGGCCTTGCGCTGTCACCCCGAACTTTCACGAAGTGTGTAGATGCTGCTCTGGCTCAACTGCGACTCCAGGCCATCCGCATACTCAACTATGTCGATGATTGGTTGATTCTAGCTCAATCAGAGCAGATGGTGGTTCGGCATCAAGATGTCATTCTCACCCATATGAAAGAGTTGGGGTTAAGATTAAACGCCAAGAAAAGTGTGCTTTCTCCATCACAGAGGACCACTTATCTGGGCGTGGTGTGGGATTCAACCACAGCAGGCACAGCTGTCTCCTGCTCGGATCGAGTCAATCCTCACTGCAGTCGCAAGATGGCCTGCTGAACATGAGACCCCTACAGTGGTGGCTCAAGACCAAGGGGTTTACCCCGAGAGGAAATCCGCTTCACATGATCAAGGTCACACGGCGATGCTTTCGTGTCTTAGACATGTGGAGGAAACCTTGGTTCTTGTCACAGGGCCCGGTGCTGGGAGCTCCTTGTCGTCGCGTAACGTTAACGACGGATGCATCCCTCACCGGTTGGGTTGCAGTCATGAGTGGCCACCCTGCCCGCGGTCTGTGGAGCGACCGCCATCTTACGTGGCACATCAACTGCCTGGAGATGTTGGCCGTGTTTCGAGCACTGAAACACTTTCTCCCAGACCTGAGAGGCCATCATGTGTTGGTGTGCACCGACAACACAGTGGTGATCTCTTACATCAACCACCAGGGAGGTCTGTGTTCACGCCCCCTGTACAGGCTGGCGCACCAGATCCTTGTGTGGGCCCAAGGAAAACTCCTCTCGCTGAGAGCAGTGCACATCCCTGGGCATCTCAATCAGGGAGCAGACATCCTGTCGAGGCAGGGGCCCGGGCCTGGGGAATGGAGACTCCACCCAGATGTGGTGTGTCAGATTTTGGAGAATGTTTGGCCACGCTCAGGTGGATCTGTTTGCGATTCAGGAGACATTGCACCGTGCCCTCTGGTCCTCTCTGACTCATTCAACAACTGAGGTTGTTGAGACCATCCTCCAATCCAGAGCTCCCTCAACTAGGAAACTCTATGGCCTGAAGTGGAGACTCTTCACTTCTTGGTGCGGAGACTGCCAGCTCGACCCAGTTAGCTGCCCGGTTGGTTCAGTGCTGGAGTTCCTGCAGGCTCGATGCTCGATTCTGTTGACCCACTCCACCTTGAAGGTGTACGTGGCGGCCATAGCTGCTTACCACGCCCCTCTCCCCTCTTAGACATTGGGGAGAAACCCATTGGTTACACGTTTTCTCCATGGCGCCTTGAGGTTGAGGCCTGCTTCACGCTCTAGAGTCCCATCCTGGGATTTGGCCGTGGTCTTAGAAGCTCTCTGTAAGCCTCCCTTTGAACCCCTTGAGGAGGTTCTGGAGAGTTTCCTCACAGTTAAGACTGCTTTCCTACTGGCCATCTCTTGCCTTAAGAGAGTTGGTGACCTCCAGGCCCTCTCTGTGGCCCCTTCCTTTCTGGAGTTTGAGCCTGGTATGGCTAAGGCATTCCTATACCTTAGGCCAGGTTATGTGCCTAAGGTTCCCACAGTAATTCCATGGCCAGTTGTGCTGCAGGCTTTCTGTCCTCCTCCCTTTAGGGACCCAGACCAGGAAAAGCTTCATCTTGTCTGTCCAGTCAGAGCACTGGATACTTATGTCCACAGAGCTTCCCTGTGGAGGAAATCTGACCAATTATTTGTTTGCTTTGGTTCGCCCAAGAGTCTCCCGGTGACCAAGCAGACCTTAAGTTGGTGTATTGTGGATGCAATATCTTTGACCTATGAGTCCTCTGACCTCCCTTCATCTTTTGGGGTCAGAGAGCTCTCTACTAGAAGTGTGGCGGCCTCCAAGTCCTTTCTCTCTGGAGTGTCTATGCACAACATCTGTAACGCTGCGGGCTGGTCCACCCCGCTTATATTTGTCAGGTTTGACAAGCTCGACATGGGTGCCACGCATGGCTCCTCTGTTCTCCCGTCCTAGCTGTGTAGTGTTCCACACTAGGCAGGGATATGTAAGCATGGCAGAGTGGGTATTCTCGTTCCCAAAACATTCTGACTCAGCACGAGTTCCTTAAGGGGAACGTCTCTAGGTTACGTATGTAACCATGGTTCCCAGAGGGAACAAGATGCTGCGTCACGTTGCCATACTTCCTGCATCCCTGCAATCGTTTCCTTCACTAATCAGAAGCTAAGGTTGTCTCCACCGCATGTGCTTTTAAGCTTCCTGGTCGCTACGTCATCCCGCCCATGATGTCTTGCCATTCCATTGGACTGATTTCACACATGCTTCAGAGCTTGGTCATGCAGAGGAATATATAAACGCAAATATAGTGCATGTGGGTCAAAGATGAGACATTTAAAATTTAATTTTACATAAGTTATTTTATATACATAGAAAGCATATTAGATGCAAGTAATGTTTTTTATGTCTTTAATGTTTCAAATAACTTTTGTAAAAATGTCAAAATATGGGTGAAGTAATGTTCCATTGTCATTCAGTGTAACATATATTTATTTAAAAATGAAACAACATACTTATTCTGATCAGTGTTTATTAAAATATATAAAAGAAAAAAGTGGTTATACTAAATTTGATTAGATTTTTAATGATTAAAG